GCCACCGCTCATGAAGCTGACGCCGTTTGCGCGCAGCGTCAGCGCGGTTGTATCCGAAGCGCCGCCGATGGAGATTGGATTCCTCGGTCCCGTGAGCAACGACACGATCGCGCAGCTCAACGCGGGTCTGCGGCAGCTCACCGGCATCATCTCGGACGACCTGCTCACGCGGCACTCGCCCAAGAGCCTCTACGTGCCGTCGCTGCGTAATTTCAAGGTCTGGTCGACTGTGGTAACGTACCTCAGTCGCCAGGACGCGGTCGTCTTTGTCACTGCGTTTGCGCCGACGCGCCACTTTTCCGAGCCCATGCCGCCCCTCTTGCGCCGTCTCGATGCCCAAGCCGACATTGTCGTCGGCGTCACCGAGGCCCAGAGCTACGGCATGTACGTTTGTATGGAACTACCAGGATCGATCGATCGATGGATCCACCGACTCATATTTCCGGTAGTTCGGGCAACGACATCACCGTGGGCATCACCGATACCGGACTCTACTTGGACCATGACCAGTTTGACCAGCCCGGCGCGAGGCCATTTGGGCGAATTGTCTCGACCAACCGCAAGGTCCATAAATCTCTCTCTGCACTGTCCCGTCGTCGTGAATGTATCAATGTATCAATCCAATAGGTCGTCTCCTACGAAGCGTTTGGCGACCAGTTTGATCAATCTGAAAACATTACGTGCGGCCATGGCACCCACGTCTCGGGCATCCTACTTGGCAGCTCGTTGACCAAAGCGCAGCCCAACCTCGGCGTCGCCTTCAACGCCAAAGTGGCCTTTATGGACATTGGGACGCAGGTATGGACGACGTGTCGTCGCCAGAGACAGTACACTGTGGATGTAGAGCCCGCGGTGCGCCAACCTCCCGAATGTCAACTGCCCCGTGAGCCTCCAGACGCCGTCGGACGTCTCGGACTTGCTTCGCAACCAAGTGCGCGCAGGCGCCAAAATCTTTTCCTTCTCGTGGGGCACCGACGGCGACGACTACAGCCAAGTACGACCCTCGGCACCGTGTCGCCACGACTCTTATGCCAATATTAGCAAGCGCGAGACCTCGACGACTATATCTTCTCCAACCCCGAAACACTGATTGTGATTGCGGCCGGCAACTCGGGCGACGAAGGGCCGCGCTCGATCAGCTCGCCCGCCGGCGCCAAGAACGTGCTCAGGTACCAACAATACGCTCTCGTGGTTGCAGATACATATCTCGCTTGGCGTAGCGTTGGCGCGTCCATGAACACGGTGGCCAGCTTGGCCTCGACGCTCAACTGCCCGAACATCTTCAACCCCAACAGTGTCGCGTCTTTTCTTCGATCGGCCCTACATCGGACGGTCGCTTGAAGCCGGACCTCGTGGCGCCCGGCCAAGTGATCACATCGTCCCAGAGCCTCGCCGCCGGCTCGACGACCAAGACGACGCAGGTCTGCCCGCTCCAAGGCACGTCCCAGGTAGTACAAATATATCCTCCTGTCAGAGTCGTATCTTATCCCGAGCGTGTAGGCGACACCTGTCGCCGCCGGCGTCGCTGTCCTTATCTACGAGTGGCTCCGCGACGGCTGGTGGAAGGCGGGGACCCGCGACGTCTCGCACGGCCTCAAGACGATTCCGGCCTCGCTCATCAAGGCGCTCATGATCCATAGCGCGACGGGCTTGAAGAATCGCATCGGGCCGCTCCGGGGTCTCGTGACGTGCTCGTTTGTGCAGCAGACGGCGACGCCGCTGGCGTACCCCGACTTTAACCAAGGCTACGGGCTCCCGCAGCTCTCCAATATCGCGTCGTTTGGCGCGTCCGCCACGCCCAAAGTGTTTTTCCTGCCGAACTCTACCGTGAGCGCACCCACGCTGCGCCACGGCGGGCTGCACACGTACAGCTTTACCGTGCTGCCGGGGCAGTCGCTTCGCGTCACGCTCGTACGTCGACCTTTTCTATCGAGTGCTCACTGAACTAGGTGTGGACCGACCCGCCGGGCTCCATGGCCGCCACGACGCAGCTGCAGAACAACCTCGACCTCTCGGTGGTCCTCGGCACCACGATCTTTTACCCGATTGCGTCGCCCAACGGTCCCGACACGGTCAACAATGTCGAAGTGGTACGATTTCGTGGGTTGAAACATTGATACGTAGTGGATATGAATGGCGTAGGTGGATGTGTCGTACGCGGCGCTGGCCAAAGTATCGTCGGGCGCCTCGGGCGACATCAGTGTCGAAGCGCGCATCGCTGGCACGTCCGTGCTCGTGACCAACGCGCAGGCGTACTCGCTCGTCGCGTCATCGTCCGCCGTCGCGTCCAACATGCCCA